TTCCTGAAATGTTACCCTCTGTTTGTTTTGTTGGGAGAAAATATATTATGTAGTTGAGCATAATATTAATTTAGAACATTTCGCTAATTCATCTAGAGGACTTGTGATACTTTCTTTAAAGAGGAAAGTAACTCGGCTAACTTTATCACTTTGATTTCATCACGTAGGAATTATTTTAAATTAAAAAATGGTTTATCACAACTCTGAATTTAATTCCAACGTATAATCACGTCGCTTGCAGGTTGTTACATTTCAGACAGCAAAGTCCTAACTCCAACAGGAAAACTGGGAAAATAATCCAAGTAAACGAGTTGTTGTGATGTGATCCACGGTCCACCATTCCGCTCCGCGTTCGTTTAATTTTTCATAAGCGTAGAGGAGAATGTACTTTACCCCCCACCACCACGTTTGGGGCCAGCCCCATGTTGGTTCGAGTGTGGGTCTGGGGCCACGACGAGACGTTCGCTCTTGACGACTACTACACACTGCTACAAACGCAGCCCAGCTCGCCTCACTCAGCCCAGCTGGAGTCAGTGAGCGCTCAGCTGTCCCATTCACCTCCGCGATCCTCCGCGACTTGACCGTGCTCGAAAAGAACTCTCCAGAACAAGGTATGTACAATCCCAGCCTTCAGGATCACTAAGTTACCGGACCATTCCGTAGTGATTTACCGGTGTAATTTTTCAGTGTTGTTCGTCGCCGTTCTCAGTCCGCGTACTGCCATGTGGTCCACCGGCTGGAATACACGAGCCCATCCAGCCGACACGGTCAAGCATTCTGTGTTGAGAAACAGTCCATTCAGATCATCCTGCTTGTGTTCGACTGGTATTTGCACAAGACTTGGCCGTGCTTTCCTCTGCATAAGGTACGGTCTAGCGTACAGGCTCACTGTTTGAAACACTCCCAAGCCATTCTGTTGTGATTTACTGTTGTATTTTTTAACAGTGGAAGCCGCGTCGCCGTGGACGTCTGGAGCCGGCTGCGAGGTGTGGGCGAGTCTCTCTACCTCCGCGGGACCCGCTGTGCCGTCTGCAGTTTAGCCAGTGGCATCTCACGGTAACCAGCGTCATCAGAGATTAACGTCAGATACGGCCTCTTTGGCTGCTGGGGGCTAGGGTTCAGGGGTTAGGTTCCCATTCCCACTCAGTCCTTCACACATTCGCAACACTTTCCACCACACGACCGGTACGACAGTCGCGGCGTAAAGAACGGAACGGGACTAAAGCGAGAGTCGCGACGGCGCGAGCGTGGTCGTCAAGCTCATCGTTTTTGGAAGAGACTAAACAAAGTTGAAGATGTTGGGGACGCCTTGGCTTGTTGGTAATCAGCCCCGTTTTCCTGTTTCGTTTGACTTCGGATTGTTTCCCCTCTCATGACGGTTTTGTTCGCAGGATATGTACTCGCTCACCGCGGAGCGGACAGCAGGCAGCTGCTCGCTCTGTTCTGCTGACTTCAGCCGAGAATAAGACGGTTAGTTGGCGTGGTGTGGGATAAAGCCACAGCGTATTTGATTGTGTTGGGTCTCATGACACTCGCTTCTGTTGCAGTTCTCTGCTCGGCTGCCGGCCGGACCTCGCCGTGACTCGGCCTGCTCGTCTCCCGCGGACAGCTGGACCAGCTCGTGGCAGGTACGTCTCTAAAGCATTGTTTGTTCCCCATTTGGCCCGCTTGCAGTGGCCCCGGTCATTCCCTGCTGCCGCCCCTCTGCTGCTGCCGGCGCGTCGCTCTCGCCTGCCCTGGCTGGCTCCCGCGGGTGTCCCCCCTAGGCCCCCCTCCCCCCGCGGGACTGGCGAGGCGCAGCGCCCAGGGTAGCGCGCCGGCGAGTGGCTGGGCGGGCGTGTTTGTTACATTGCGACCGGGTGACTACGAGGGTAAAGTTGTGGCTTACTTCAACTGCACGTAGGAGCCAGTCTAATGCCGTGTTCTCTGTTTCGCTGTCGCTGCCCCTCAGCCGACCTCCTGACCACTGTTCGACTCGGACGCAGCCTGGGAGCGTGAAGCAGTGCATCAACACGGCCTCGCCGCTGAGGGCCTCGCTCGCCCGTGTCTACGAGTAAGTGACATCTTCAGTGGCTCTAGTTGGCTTGGTTAGTATGTGGAATGATTTTAATCTAGCATTGTTCCTGTTGTAGAGTCGCCGCTGGAGGACCGCGTCGGCTGCGAGTTCAACACCACTTCAACTACCCGCACTGGTGACAGGCTGCTTGCCAGCAGATTCCTGGTATGTCGTTTACCGTGAAACGTTTGCTTCTCCAGTTGCTCTTCCAGTTCCAGGCCGTAGTTCCAGTTCCACTGCAGTCAGCAGCAGGTCACCGCGGACGTCAAGACACCAGGACACCAGGGCCATCCCAACGCCCGCCATGGAGGTCTGCTTTCAACATGAACGCTGCTTTCGATGTCTTCCCCTCAAGCAACCAGGACAACCAGTAAGTTTTCACAGGCTGAGACCTCATGCACACATTTACGTATAAACAATTCGTTCACTACGTGTAAAGTGTATTCTCATAACTGTTGTAAGAGTAACAAGAACTCTTTGAAGTACTGTTTACGGATTGAGATAGAGACTTACTTTACCTTCCAGATGCGCAGGGCGAGCGGTAGCACCACTGGAGTGATGTGATGAGGAGCTGTTCGACTGGCGTAGGGCAGGGAGAAGGTATTGATTAAACTATTTTTCACTCTAGTTTAAGGCCTTCATTTTTTAATAACCGTGAATTAAGTTAAAATTTTGTGGGATAAAAATATGAACCTGATTATTTGGTTTTCCTCTCCTCAAACTCATTATTTGGTATCTGTTTCAGATTGCATCTCGACATTGCTGCTCAACCAGATCGAAGTCATCCAACTTGGTGGCTGGACAAGACAACTATTGACATTAATATATTTAATTGTATCACACGTATCACAATCGTATCATCATCATTCATCTCAGATTTCTTGACTTATCTTGCCTTTTCTGTCTTGGATCGTAGTATAGACCTTGGTTTGTTGTTTTGGATCGTAATAGAACTTGGTTGTTGTCTTGGATCGTAGTATAGAGCATGGTTTCTGTTGTCTTGGTTGTGTATTGGTTCTTGTGTACTGGTCTTTACATTTTGGTTGGATTTTGCGGGTTTGGTGCTTGTAGTCTGTTGGGTCTATAGAAATTCTGTAATCTCTCTCCCTCTCTAGCTTGACATCAAAATCATCTTTGCACTCTCATCATATCATTTAATCATAGTAAAGAGCAAAACTGTAAATTTATTACTGTTCAAAATGTTCAGCATTTTTCAAATCCATTCGCAATACTTCCTATTTGCGTTAAAAATGTTGTGATTTCTTAATTAGTATTACGAAATTTTTACAATGAACTTGTGAAATTTGATTTTGACTGTAAAATTTGATGACTGTTCGCTGATAAAAAATGTGACACAAGTTTATAACATCTTTTTATGGACTTATGAAGAGTTATCTTGGAGACTTAGAATTTAATAGCATAAAAGCATAAGTTTAGATTATCCTTAATGTTTTATGTAAATAACCCCTCAGAGGGTATGTTCTACAACTGAAATTCACTTACTAGTGAAAGCGTACTGTCTTGTGTGGAATTGTGTGCTCCTGGTCGGTCAACCTGTCAGCTATTTTGTTGCTATTTGCACACTGACACTGCCACACTGTTCAGGCAGAGAACGAAATTGAATTAAATTGCTTGGTAGTTCTTTCATCCTGAAACATGTACATATTGGAAATGCTTATTTCAGTTACAATACCCGAATTGTATAAAGGAAACGGAAAATAATCGAATGTATCTCTGAGAGGTTTTCCTGTTCCCTCGCCAAATTGAGACGAGGTAATTGCTATTGCTTAATGTAAGCTTGAGCTGTCTATAATTTTCAAGTCAAGTTCAGTTATTATATTGCTTTTGAAATTCCGCATTATAGAGAAGAAATTTAACTGATGATCGTATTTTTA